CAAGGCCGGGCTGGCGGGGCAGCGGGAGGAGAGCCGGGAGCGGAGCGGGCAACAGCTACAGGCGCAGCAGGTCAGGGCTGGCAGCCACCATGCATCGGGGGGCTGCCAGGAGCGGGGCTCCCAGGAGCGGGGCTCCCTGGGGAGCAGCTGATGTGGGACACAGCTGTGCCACGGGGGTGTCAGGAGCCACCCGCTGTCCCGTCTCCTGCCCGTAGCCAAAATTTTCCCAGGAGGGGGACTCTGGGACTTGGTGTGACATTGTCACGTGGCCATCTCCTCCCAGGACCCCCTGGGGAAGACCCCTCTCCTGCCCGGACGAGTCTCTGCTGCTTTGCCCCGCGGCCAAGGCAGGGGGGAGCAGCAGGAAGCAGCAACATGGGCTTCTCCCGTGTCTCCCAACGTTCCTGTTCCTGGACGCGCACCGTATTGTGCGTGTCCAGGAACATCCTTGGTGCTGTTGCTTCCAACTCACACAGGGACCTTACACCCGAGACCCTGCAATTCGTCACACTGCTGTGGGACATCCTTATCACTTAAGGGAAGGGCGGGAGCTTTCCTTGGGGATCCGAGTACTCCCGTGGGAATCCCCAGACTGTACCATCCCGAGGTTTGGGAGAGCGCTCTGCAAACCTCAACACCTCTCTGCTGTGCCACGCAGGAGCTGCTGGACACGCTGCGGCAGGAGAAGCTGAGCCTGGAGCAGTCTGTCTCGGCACTGCAGGCGAATGTCTCCAAGCTGGAGGAGCAGGCGCGGGAGCTGAAGGAGCGGGAGAGGCTCCTGGTGTTCTTCCCCGAGCTCCACGTCCCCACTGAGATGCAGTTTGAGAGTAAGGGAGAGGGCAGCGGGCAGCAGCACCTGCTTTTGCCGCAGGGGGCTTGTGCCTTTGGGGTCTCCTAGAGCGCGCAGGGGATCCTGCCGGCCCCGGACGCGCCAGCGTTATTTGCACAACACAGTTTGTCCCACTAACAGCCAGGAAGGGCTCAGTCCATGGGCTGTGCTAAGCCGCTACCATCTTTCCACACCTCCCTGCCTGGGTGCTGTTCGTCCCCCTTCCAGGCCAGGAAGTAAAGCAGGGCCAGGGCAGGGGCAGAGCTTTTGTCTGCCCTCGCGGCTTCAGCTGGCAGAGTTTTGGGTCCCAGCTGCCACCTCCCAGGCTGTGCTGGTGCTCCCTGGTTGGGGCAGTTGGGGCAGGCTCCTTTCCAGGGGGCAGACACCCTGCTTGGGAGGGAGGAGGGCCGCTGCCAACACCTCCGAGCAGGCAGGCGGCAGCGGGCTGAGCTCTGGCTCCTGCCGCGAGGACGCCGTATTTTGTTTGCAGGCAGCGGGAGCTTGACCGAGGACATGGAGAAGCAGCTGCAGGCCAACAGCATCCGGATCAGCGTGCTGGAGCAGGAGAACGCGCGGCTCAGGTCTGCGCTAGCCAAAGTGAAAGCGGCTGCTGAGCAGGGGTGAGGCTGCACCCAAGCCAGGGCGAGCTGGGTGCCGCCGGGGAGAGGGGTGCACGTGCCAGCGGGGTGCTGCGTACCCCAAGACCACCCCATGGCCCCTGGCACTGTCCCACATCCTCCGTGGACTGGTTCCCTGGTTGCGTACCCTTGCAGAAGAGGCTCCAGGGAGCAAAAGGCTGTGGGGCTCCTCGCACAACACCCCCTGTGGCTGGGCAGCTGCTTCCCCAGCCTGCACGGGGCCGTGCTGGACAAAGCTGCTTCCAGAAGGGCATGAAGCTGGGCGGGGGCTGTGATCCTTCACAGGATCAGGTCCCAGGGCCTGATCCTGCCTTCAGGAGCCCATCTTGGCCTCAAGGCAGCTGAACTGGGTGCTCCTACCTGATGCTTTCCGAGCCAGAGCGGCCAAGCTGATGCTGGGGCACTGCAGCATGCTCGCAGCTGCCGGTGGCCAGACCCAGACCCGCTCCGGCACGTCCCCTGTGCCGGGCTGCAGCCAGGGGCAGCACGCCAGGGTCACTCGCTCCCTGGGAGCGAATGGCATGGGCAGGGCAGCGCTGGGGCTTGTGCTAACCCTTTGTCAGCCGCTGCTGGCGCAAGCCTTTCCTGCCCGGTGTGGGCGGCACGCAGCCGCAGCCCCAGCCGGGGACGGGGGCTGCTGCGACGCCCTTCCCCGGTGTCAGTCGCTGCGGCTCAGCCCTGTTAGGTTTAGACCAGCTCCGTGGTTTTGGGGTGTGCCCACCCCAGGAGGGCCAGGGCCCGGCCTCCTGTGTCACGAGGAGGTCAGTCTGGTTTAACTGGTGTTGGCAGGGAAAGCTGCTTGGCCGAGGGGCCCCGGGCCGGTTCCCAGCTCCTTTACATCGGCCCCGCCACGGCCGTTGTACCACCGTGCCACTGTCACCAGCTCAGCGGTGACGGCCGCCCAGGGCAGAGGCCGAAGGGTGTGACTGGAGCTGAGCGTAGGGGGAAGTCTCACCCCCTCTTCTGTTCCCCAGCTCGTCCCGCAGACCCAGCTGTGGTCTCAGCTCAGCAGCCAGCGCGGTGAGGAGGCTGACGGGCAGCACGCAGGGTGAGTAGGAACCCAGAGGAAGGGGCTGGGGAGCTTCCCTCTTCTTCCTCCCCTCTAACCGCTCCCACCACCCGCAGGCGGCCGAGCAGCCGAGGCAGCAGGGCAAGCACCGGGACGCACGGGGTGCCAGGCC